CATCATTAGTGGGTAAAGTAACAGCTTCTACCCATTTGCTTACATAGTCTACAGCCATTAAAATAAATTTGTTCCCACAAGAGGGAGGAAATAGGCCCATAAAATCAATGTCTCAAACATCAAACAATTCAACTTCTAGTATAGAATTAAGAGGCATTTCATTCTGCTTGGTTATGTTTCCTTCCCTTTGGCATCTACCACATTGTTTAGCATATTGAAGGGCATCTTTAAAAAGAGATGGCCAATAGAAACCTGATTGAAGCACTTTTGATGCAGTCCTGATTCCTCCTAGATGGCCTCCATATGGGGAGGAATGACAGTGGAAGAGGATGTGGGCTTGTTCTTCTTCTGCAACGCTCCTCCTTATCATTTGGTCTGCACATCTTTTGAACAACAGGGTTCATCCCATAAGTAGCTCCTACAATCATGAAAAAAAAATTCTTTTGCATTTTATTTGCTTCATAAGGTTCTATCCCAACTGCAAGAAAATTTGCAAAGTCAGCAAATCAAGGATCGTTTTTGTCATGCATGACAAACAATTGTTCATCAGGGAACGTCTCCTTGATAGGCAGACCATCTTTAGTGTGTTCCAATCTGGAGAGGTGATCTGCAATCTGGTTTTCATAGCCTTTTCTTTCTTTGATTTTCGAATTGATTTCTAGTAACAACAAAATCCATCTGATTAAGCGAGGCTTTGCCTCTTTCTTGGCAAATAAGTATCTAAGACTACATGGTCAGTATGAATAGTGACTTTGGATCCCAGAATATATGGTCTGAACTTTTCATAAGCATATACTGTTAGTACTTAGGTGTCCTAGAGACAATCTGAGAGTCAGATAGACCCATGTACTTCTTTATTTGTTATGAATAAATTTTATGAATAAAAGCATTATTTATCTTGTGTCATATTACATGTCTCAAATATTGAATATGAGTAACTGGATAAAGCCCTTGGAATGGAACAAGTGTCACATTGAGGATTTATGATAGGGATCACGATCATGAGGGCTCAATGACACCACATGTCCATTGCCATAAATATGTTCCTAGTCTAGAGATACCGATAATGGACATTGGTGATCTCGGGTAAGACTATCACGACTCAGCTACTTGCATGGAGATGCAAGGTAGAGTCCTCATGAGCTACAAACATGGAGATGTCTTTGCTAACTCGTGGGTGGATCTATTAGAGAATAGCTCGCATTGAATTGGCCCATAAAGAGACACTACGAGAAAATCTCACAGATAGTATCAATAGGTAATGTCTCTTATTATTTGGGTGTGTCTTTCCTTAGACCTGACGTTGTCATATAGACATGTGCTCTGTAAGGCTTACTTTGATTGTATATCTTTTCTGCCTGAAACATGGAGACTCATAGGTATACTCTTGGGCATGCCCTAAGGACTCAGGACTGTGTGGTTTGGGCCCAAGCCCATTTATATCAGTGGCTATGTTGGGCTTGATGGGTCGCACACAAACAACTTAAGTTGTCTTGAATTCTAGCATATGTGGTTTGGGCACAATGAGCCTAAGTTGGAAAAGCCCACATATTGGGCCAAGAGAGAGTAGGTGGCATCATGGGTCAAGTTGGACTTGATCCATCATGTAACCTAATTAATTTGAATGTTAAATTAATAAAATTAATTTGAATTCTAATTTTGAATTTGAAATTTGAATTTAAATAATTTGAATTCTAATTTTGAAGTTCGAATTTGAAATTTGAATTTAAATAAAATTAACTTCAATTCTAATTTTGAATTTCGAATTGAAAATTTGAATTTAAATATAGTCATTAAATTAGATTTATTGAAGATGGAGAAAATAAAGAAAATCAATCAATTAGATTGATTGAAAACAAATCAATTGGATTGATTGACCAAAATTAAGGAAACAATTAATTAAATTAATTGGCTGAAATTGGGAAAATAAATCAATTAAATTGATTGACCAAAATTAAGAAAACCAATTAATTGAATTAATTGGCTGAAATTTGGGAAACAAATCAATTGAATTGATTCACAAGAATTAAGAAAACCAATTAATTAATTATTTGGCTGAAATTTGGGAAACCAATCAATTGGATTGATTGGATAAAATTAAAGAAACCAATTAATTAAATTAATTGGCTGAAATTGGGAAACCAATCAATTGGATTGGTTGGATAAAATTAAGGAAATTACCCAATAAGATTGGGATTTGATGAGGATGCTGATTTGACTTAGTCTTAAGTGAATGAGGTGTCATATCTATATATAGCCCCTCTTCTTCCTTAGTTTTGTATATCTTCTTTTCTAATTTTCTCCACTAAAACCTTAGCCAACACACACATCAGTGTGGCAGCCATCTCTCTCTTAGAATAACCAAAGGCACCACCCAATCTCTATTCTTCTCTTGAGTCTAGCAACCCCGATTAAAGGATATTGGACATTCGAAGAAGTGTTCTTCTCTTACAAGACAACAAGGTGGTGTGAATTTCCATCGGAGGACTTGTGTTCTTCGAGTTTGAAGAATTGATGAAGAACGCATCTGATCAAGAATAGTAATCCGTACAAAGGTATCAACTTTAAACCCCTAACATGTCTATAGCATAATTCATGGGTTGAACATGCTTGAGGGTGGGTAAAGGTTGCTTATTCTACACAATTTTTTTTTAATTTTTCCTTCTTTTATGTTCATGGCCTACAAAAGGCAACTTTCGTATACTACAGCCAGTAGCTCCCTTTCAATAATTGTGTAATCCACTTGAGCTTCATTCAAAGTTTTACTGGCATAGTATATGCTGTGAAATAGTTTATCCTTTCTCTGGCCCAGAACTATCCCTATAGCTTGATCACTTGCATCACACATTAGTTCAAAGGGTAGGTTCCAGTCTGGAGGTTGGATGATAGGTGTAATGATTAACTTACTCTTTAAAGCTTCGAAAGCTTTCAAACATTCAGGGCCGAATTCAAATTTAATATCTTTTTTTAACAACTGGCAAAAAGGTCTAGCTATTTTGAAAAAATCTTTGATAAACCTTCTGTAGAAGCCAGCATGCCCAAGAAAAGATCTAAGAGTTTTAACATTCACATGGGGTGGCATCTTGGCTATAGCTTCTACTTTGGCTTGGTCAACTTCTAATCCATTCTTGGAGATCTCATGTCCTAAGAAAATTCCTTCTCTTACCATAAAATAACATTTCTCCCAGTTAAGAATGATTAGAAGAGAGAGATCTTTGTAACACTTCTTCTAAATTAATCAAGCAATGATCATATGACGTTCCCAGTACTGAGAAGTCATCCATAAAGACTTCCACTTCTTCACCTATTAGACCAGAAAAATTAGAAAACATGCATCTCTGGAATGTTGTTGGAGCATTGCATAGTCCAAAAGGCATTCTTATGAAGGCAAACGTTCCGTATAGACAGGTGAAAGTGGTTTTGTGTTGATCCTCTGGTGCTAGAGGAATTTGATTGTATCCTGAATAATCATCAAGAAAATAGAAATATTCCTTACCTGCTAGGTGATCCAACATTTGATCTGTGAATGAAAGAGGAAAATGATATTTCCTTGTGGCAGTATTGAGTTTTCTATAGTCCTGGTAGATTCTCCAACCTGTGACTTTTTCGACAGGAATCAGCTCATTTTTTACATTCAACTCCACAGTTATGCCCCCTTTCTTGGGAACGCATTGGACATGACTGATCCAATTGCTGTCTGAAATGGGATATTTGATTCCTGCATCTAACCACTTGATTACCTCTTTTCTTACCACCTCTTTCATGATGAGATTTAATCTCCTTTAATGTTCCACTGAAAAACTATCAGGGTCAGTAAAAAAAATTTTATGCATACAAAAAGTGGGACTGATACCTTTAAGGTCAACTATGGTCCAGCCAATAGCTCCTTGATACTACTTCACTTTGTTGATCAGAAGTTCTTCTTGCTCTTTTGTAAGGAATAAGGAGATGATGACAGAGAGCGCGTTAGTGTTCCCCAAGTATGCATACTTTAGATGTTGGAGAAGTGGCTTTAATTCCAGATCAGGTGGTTGTAGAGCTGTTAAATAGGGCCAAAGTCCGTGGGACAACCCATTTAACCCTGTATCTGGCCCTACTAAATTCCAGCCCCATATGTTGGGGGCCTATTTTAGCCCCAGCCCCATCTAGCCCCATTAATTATTGGTTAGGGTCGGGCTAACCCGCGGACAGCCTTCAGTGAGCCATTTTAATAGGATACGTCGTCGTTTTAGCCAACTGTGGTTCTGCTCCTCTCCAGTGGAAATTCTCTCAAGTTGTCAGCTAGCGATTATAACACAACGATTATCTTGATTCGTTACATTTACAAAAGACAAAATTTCACTCCTTCACAACATCCCAAGTTTCATTACAAGACAAAATTTTAGAGTCACGAGCCCAAGGTACTATCATGTGGATTTTCAAAACTGCCTTGTAAACTGATGATAAAAGTAAACTAGGAGTGTGTAGTAGTTTCATAACTAATATATTACTATTATGTGGATATGAACAAGGGAAAAATGTATATCATTTTAAAGGATGTAAAGTTGTGTCATTTTAAATGAGAGAAAGAGGTAGATAAAAGAGGAGAGAGAGTGGGCAAAAAAATATAAAGGTGTGGGTCCCACCTCTTTGTGAGAGTGAAAGGATATAAATTGTGTTATTTAAAAGGACAAACACTTTTCCTTATGAACAATATTAAAATGGTTTGAGGCTTGTAATTGTATATATCTCAAACCTAGAAATTATGAGACAATATCTCTTAAGTGGGTTACTATTTGTTACTCATTAATTTTCTAATTAATTATTTTTTGGCCCGCGGGCTGGCCCTAACCCATAGGGCTACATGGATTTATTGGCCCATGCGGGCTTTTGTGTTAGTGGGCTTTTTGGCCATGCGGGCCTTTTGGCCCTAACCCGCGTGGGCTAGGGCCTAACGAGCCGGGTTGGCCCGTTTTGACAGCTCTAGGTGGTTGTTCTGTAGATGGTCTCTTGACTTGTTTTTATTTTTTTGTTCTTTGCAGAGGCACAAGTGTTCTCTCTTGTAGTGGGATATGTTCCTCATCTTGTAAACTTTCTTCTTCTTCTGATTCTTCTTCAACTGAATTCAAGTTGATCTGGGTATCTAACACAGATATCATGGAACATTCTTCCAAGTCTCCTTCATCATCATGAAACTTCATGGCTTTTAGAACATTGAACTTAATTTCATCATCATGAACTCTTACGATGAGTTCCCCTTTCTGCATATTGATGACAACTCCTCCAGTTACAGGGAGCGATCTTCCCAAAATAATGGGAACGTCAACATCAGCTTCATAATCTAGGATGATGAAATCAGTAGGAAAAATGAACCTATCTACTTTGACCAGCAAATCTTCTACTTTTCCTGCAGGCTTAACAATAGATCCGTCAGCCATTTGTAGTGTTACAGTAGTAGGTTTTGCTGGGCCTGTGGCAAGTTGTTTAAAAATTGAGGAGGGCATCAGATTGATGTTGGCTCCCAAGTCACACAAGGCTTTGCCTTGGTAAGTATTCCCTATAACGTAAGGGATGGTAAAACTCCTAGGGTCTTGTAGCTTTGGTGGAAGTTTACCCAAATATTTGCAGCTTTCCTGCGTCAAGGTTACAGTTTCATATTCTTCTATACCTCTCTTCTTGGAGAGAACGTCTTTCATGAACTTGACATATTTGGGCATCTACTCCAAGGCTTCTACCAGAGGGATGTTGATATGAAGTTGCTTCAGGACACTCAAGAATTTTCCAAATTGTTTGTCATCCTGCTATTTCTTCATTCTTTGGGGGAACGGAACTGTGACTGGCAGATATTTCTTCTGTGGGGGCTTAGCTGCTTAACTGGTTTCAGCTTGAGTTTGCTCATCAGTCATAGTTCGTTCCTCATGTCCTTGGTTTTCTGTGAGTTGGCCAGCTGCCTGCTTTTGATGTTGTTCATGGTGTGAAATACTCGGAGATGCCTCAACTGGTTTATTAGGTTCCTCCTCAGTGCTTATGGTTGTTGTCTTGGAAGTGTTTGAGGCTTGTGTAGCAACTCTCCCACTCCTCAAGGTAATTGTTTTGATCTGTTCTGGAGAGGATGTTGAAGGTACTTCAGTGTCCCCTGGCAGTTTGCCTGGTACTCCGGTGTTAAGCCTGACAGCTATTTGCCCCAGATGGGATTCAATGTTTCTAACAATTGCATCATTTCTGGTGACATATTCTTTCACATAATTTTCCAATGCACTGATGCGTTGTTCATCTCTGGGGAATGGAGCATTGCTTGGTCTTCTTTGTTGATCAAATGCTCCATGTCCCCCATTGTTGTTTTGTTAATACTGTTGTTATTGGTTGTTATATGGTCTAGGATTAATGGGTGGTCTCCACCGAGAATTATGGTTCTGGTCTTTCTGTATAGTGCCTCTAAAATTTGGGTTGTTGTTGCGACCTACGTACTGTTTGTCTCTGGCTTGATTGAAGTTCCTGCTCCCAAAATTTTCTGCATAACACACCAGAGCTGTTGAAGGACAGTCTGTTGAGTCATGTTGGTCACCACATGCTGAACATGGTTCACTTTCTGGGGCTGTGAGTTGTAAAACATTGGATTTGGGATGATTTATGTCAGCTTTCAAACTCTTTACTTCATTCATTAGGGCAGCTAGTTGAGCTTCCATGGCAATTTGTTTATCCAACTCCAACATGCCTGGTTTCCTGACTGGGTTTATTCTTTCTAAAGGCCAGTGAAGGCAACATTCTGCATTGCTTTCTATGATTTCATATCTGGATTCAAGAGTTCCAGTTCCTGCAGCAAAATCCAAGTGAGATTGAGAAGTATGGTCAATACCCTTATAGAAAGTCTGCAAGACTCCCCATATTTCTTCCCCATGGTTAGGACATTTCCTGATAATGTCCTTGTACCTCTCCCATGCTTTATAGATATTTTCTCCATAAAATATTCTGAAGTTAGAGATTTCAGCTCTTACATCAGCTTGACGGGACATAGGGAGGAACCTCTCTATAAACTTATCCAAGCTTTGGCTTTAGATCCCAGAGAGTGAGGGAACAACCTCATTCTCATACTTTCTTCTAACACTCCCTCTATTCTAAAATTGTCACAAATATCTTGGAAATAATTCAGGTGAGTGTATAGATCTTCTGCAGGAAGTTCATTGAAAACTACAGCCTCCCTAATCATATTGAACATGATGGGTTTTAGCTCAAAGTTAGGAGCTTCAACAGGAGGGATTGATTCTCCTCTTTCTGGTTTGTTCCTTGAAGGAGCAGCTAGTGCTCTGAAGTTTTGTTCAGGAGGAATATCTACATTGTTATGATTATTATGATCAACCATTTCGGGTTCAAAATTATTTTCCCTTAGATTTCTTCTTATTCTGTGAAAAGTGTGTTCTGGTTCAGGATCAAGGAAAAACTCAAGTAACTCAGTGTGAGGGTAAGAATCAGCTTCAGATTCCTCACTCATAAACCATAAAACATAAACAATATGAACAACAGTGTAAATATTGAAGAATAAAGAATGGTGTATTAACAAAATATAAAATAAAAAAGTTTTAAGGATAGAATTTCTGGAAACGGCACCAAAAACATGTTGGGTGCTGATGCTCTTAAGGACGTTCCCTTTATTTAGTGCATCAAGAGAAAACACATTCGTTCTCTAGATATCAACCGAGTCGCGCAAGTGCACATTTCAAGTAATAAGTGGTATTATTAGTGCCCAAGTTATCGTTCCCACGAGGATAGAACTCTAAATAATACCTTAAACTATTTTGAAGATAGTTTTTAATATAAGAAAAGACAGTATTTGAACTGTTTGGTCTTTCGTTCCTTACTGCCTTGTGGACGTTCCCTCAAGGTGGTAGGTTCAGATTGACTCTAAACAACTCCTCGCATCGTTATGTATTAAATTCTTCCTGATGTAAGAAGGAACGACAAAATTCATTGGAGATTTGGTTATATTCTCACAAGATATTAAATGCTGAAAACTTAAAAAAATAATAATATTTAAGAGACAACAAGATGGATGGATAACAAAAATAGTTTTTGCCATAAGGGACACATCCACTGTTCCATTCTCAAATGAATATAATCTCAACTTAAGACTTAACCCTTTTGAATTTGTTCAGGTCTTTTCACTGCCAACTCTGATTCCTCAGCTCATAGACTAAAATGGCTCACAAGTTTGCAAATTCCTATAGTTCCCTTGACTCCAACAGTTACTAAGTTTAGAACCTTCAAAGAATGAGGTGGTTCTTTATTCTTAAGGTAACCAGTAGAATTATTTCCACAACCCTACTTTCCTCCTATGATTAAATTGTCTGAAATCCCTTCCTTAAGTAATTTCCTTTCTCAGTTTGAGTTCAATTTCAATTGACACCCAAAGAATTAAGTTTACTTAAGTCACAGAAATACAAAAGCTTCAGTACAAAAGTTTTGAGCATAGTTCTTTAAGAACTTCATAGTTTTTCCATTCCAAAAATAACTTAGCCCATGGCTGAAAATACAAACATAATTATTTCAATCTGAAATCCCATAGACCCGAGGTTCAGTTTGAAGATAACGATTGGAAGAGAAGAGAAACAACAAACATAAAACAAGTTTATATTACAAAGAAATAAAATGGAGAAGCATCGAGAATGCTCGTGAGGAGACTTAAATGGTGAAAGTGAATGGAGGAAGAGTTGTTGTCACTTATCTATTGCTAAAACTATACAATTGAAAAGTAGAAACTTTAAACTACAATAAGTGATATCTTCTTAAGGAATTCGATGCTTTCTTCGTGTTGGAACGTCCTATTTATAGGCTAGAATAGTGGATGACAAACTTGTGATTCTGCCTTAGTTGTTCCTTGATTGCATGAAGAGGCGGTGCAACAGTGCTCTGATATATGAAACAAGTTGTTGGATGAGACAACTTAAGGTTGAGATTTGCCTTTTTCTTCTGAATCTCCCATGCTTGCTTTTTTTTCTAACCCAATGGTTGCTCTTTATTCTCTGTTGTGCACGTTTCTTCCTGCTTGATTGTTGTACTTCTTTCTACTTTTTGGAAGCTTCTTTTTAACGTTTCCTGCAAAAGTGGTCAGAGACGGGGTTAGTGGAGCAGGTGTGTAAATAAGTCAAACAGTTCCTCTTTTCTATCATTATCAACTGATTACATCATCATCTGTTCCCTTCTGGTGCTTTTGTTCTCAAGATCTGGGAACATGTTTTTAAGGCAGAAATGATCACCAGATGAGGGAACAAATGAAATTTTACCATCAAAATGAGCTCAAATGGGAACGAATTTCTGTCCCATCACCCCACATCTCAATTCTATCAATCTCTTCGAATTTTAGAACTCCCAAATCTCCCCCAAACTCCACCTCACCTTACCCTAATCTTTCCCAATCTCACTAAAGATGACTAGAGTTAAAATCATCGTGCAACCCACTGCTAATTACATTTAGGAGCTTGAAATAATAGAGCCCAATTTGACCCTTTATCCTGATTGAAACATCCACTTGGGGGATAAAGGAACCTCACTACCTTCCTGCATGGTTGTTGCGTTGGTGGAACTGAAGTGGCTCAAGTTAACAAAAGAGGAGCGGAGTTGTTTCCCATCCCTAGTAGGTGAGTTCTTATATCATGCCAAGAGGCTTCCAAAGGATAATGATACAAATGAGGTGGTGGTACAAGGGATGACAATTTTGTTCTCCCTAAACATCATCAGAGAGGTGCTCTCTTTACCATTGGTGAACGAATGCCCTTACCAACACTATGTGGGTAAGACAGATGACCTCACCTTCAGGGCACATGTGATAAAGACCATAGCACTGCCCAAACCAGTTTATGCCAAGGGTGCCCTCTGTAAGGGTAGCCTACAGGATTAGTCCAGATTGTGGTCTCTTTTTGCAACACCAATATGACTCCATCTACCCACGATGCTACTTCAAAATGGAAACTCATGGTGCATATATACTACATTATGAAACACATTATTTTTGATGAAGTCCCTCTCATTTATGAGAGTTTGAAGATGTGGTAATTGATATTTTATTACACTTATTTATTACTCTCGGTTAGTATTTTTAGGATTTATTTGAGTTAAATAAAGGTCTTTTGGGTCAAATTAGAAATCTAGATTTTAATTGGGTTTAATTAATTTTCGTCAGAATTTTTCAGATTTACACTACTTTTATATTTTGACCATATCTCACTCTACAAATATCAGATTGACTCTATTCTTGTTACGTTTTGCAGCTAACAGAAAGGGCTACAATCACTATTTCGGGCCACTGAAGCCTAATTCAAACGAAAAGATCCTCCACAAGGTCCCTACTCTCGCCCTTTTAACCCCTAATCAAGCTGGACTTCGGGCACTAAAAATCCAACCCAAAATATAAGGAAACAAAACATAAATAATGGCTATGGACCTCATGTACATTGGGTTCTAATTTAATTTACAAGTCCAAACATAAAAATAAATTTCCAACAAAACACGTCCATCTTAGGCTCAGGTTTCAACCGTCTTTTCGTTCAAATTGGGCTTCAATGGCTGAAATAGAGATTGTAGCCCTTTCTATTAGCTGAAAAACACAACAAGAACAGAGTCAATCGGACATATGTAGAGTGAGATATGATCAAAATATGAAAGTAGTGTAAATTTGAAAAATTCTGACGAAAATCAATTAAACCCAATTAACATTTAGAATTCTAATTTGACCCAAACGACCTTTATTTAACTAAAATAAATCCTAAAAATACTAACCGAGAGTAATAAATAAGTGTAATAAAATATCAATTATCACCTCTTCAAACTCTCATAAATGAGAGGGACTACATCAAAAGCAAAAAAAAAAAAAGCAAAAAAATATATATGTGTTTATTTCTATCTTTTCATTATCTTTGTTTTATTTTCTTAGTGTAATTCTTAACTTTTGCTCTTTTAGATTTCTGGGGTGTTTAACTTTTCCTATATTTCATCCATACCTTCACCTCAGCCCCATTACAACCCTGTATAAAGCCCTCTTGATTTGTGCATGCATGTGTTAGTAGCAGTGGAGAAGTAGAACTTGAGCAAGCTTATGGTAGGATAATTTTCTTGAGTAGATTTGAGTGATACAATTAACTACCCTATACACTTGAGAAAGTAATTGAGAGCATCTTGTGAGAGACCATTTTATGTAATTAGCATTTTCAATTAAGATTACCAGGTTTTGTGATTTGAGATTATAGAACTTCTGCCCTGATTGATTTATCTATTGAAGCTTGTGATCTTTGTTCTTCTTCTGTATACTTGGCAATTGTTAGAAAAGATAGGTTAATCCTTTAGTCTTTTCTATTATTTCTTTGGTATGTTTCAAAATTTAATTTTGCTTAGGAGTGCAAAAAGATAAGTGTGGGGGAATTTGATAATTGATATTTTATTACACTTATTTATTATTCTCGGTTAGTATTTTTAGGATTTATTTGAGTTAAATAAAGGTCTTTTGGGTCAAATTAGAATTCTAGATTTTAACTGGGTTTAATTAATTTTCGTCAGAATTTTCCAGATTTATACTACTTTCGTATTTTGACATATCTCACTCTACAGATGTCCGATTGACTCTGTTCTTGTTGCGTTTTTCAGCTAACAGAAAGAGCTACAATCACTATTTCGGCCACTGAAGCCCAATTCTAACGAAAAGATCCTCGTCCCTACTCTCGCCCTTTTAACCCCTAATCAAGTTGGACTTCGGGCTCTAGAAATCCAACCCAAAATATAAGGAAACAAAACAGAAATAATGGCTCTGGACCTCATGTACATTGGGTTCTAATTTAATTTACAAGTCCAAACATAAAAACAAATTTCCAGCAAAACACGTCCATCTTGGGCTCAGGTTTCGACCATCTTCCCGTCTGAATTGGGCTTCAATGGATGAAATATAGATTGTAGAACTTTCTGTTAGCTGCAAAACACAAGAAGAACAGAGTCAATCGAACATTTGTAGAGTAAGATATGGCCAAAATTC